CCATCCATCCATCCATCCATCCTGTGTGCATGCATGCATGTATGCAAGCTACATGCGCATTTGCCCATCCATCTACCTGCTTACCTGCTTGCTTTTTTACCGTCTCATATCGGTTATTGCGTTCAGAAGTATTCTTGTCCGAACGTTCATCATAAACATTGTCGAGGCATGGCGTGATGATCACCATGCTTGTTGTTATGATCGCTGCTAGTAGCACGGGTGAGCGCTGTATCCTTTTCTCCCTGCTTGTTGATCCTTATTGACTCGCAAATTCGATCTCGCGTGGGTGATGACTGAGAACATGCTTCTACATGGCTGCGAGCATCGGCAAATTCGACAGCACTGAGGACACTTATGATTCCGGCGAAAGCCACACCCATGCTTGTCTGCACGACGAGCACGCCCGCCAGACAGCAGTTCATGCAAACGATGAGGAGATTCCTGAGATACCCGGCCAACCAAGATTGGTAGGGATCTGTGCTTTTGCCTAAAGTGCAGAGCAAGGGCTTGAGATGAGTTTGTCCACACCCTCTGTAGGCACTTGCCCTCGTCGGATGCCACCTCACAGTTGTCTACTGGCATACCATGCAGGGAGGTGTTGCACTCTCCGCTCAAGTCCACGGCAACACAGCCAATTTGATGCTGCGTTGCTGGGTGAGCAACAGAAAGGCTCGCGGCAGGTCAAGAGAATGCCGACGAAGCCTGCAATTGCATGCAAGCCGCCTGTCGGCAGTCTTTTTCTAAGTCCGTTGGACATTCGCAAGCTACGTGCAGTATGGTCGTACCGTTTACCTTAGCTTATGCTCGTAGACGTGCAGCGTTTCCCAGGTATATCGCACAGGAGCGGAGGCTCTTACGATGCGACTCTGAGCTTTGCTCGTATGTTTCCGTAGCCGCTTCGTCGAGTACCCTTCCTCTGATTTCCTCCTTCGAGATTGCTTGGTTTTGAGCAATTTCGTTGTTCAACAGGCTTGCGTGCAGAAGTCTAGGCGCATCAGATGTCGCATCTCATTTCGCGATAAGTTCCAGCTGCAGCAAGCCCCACGGATGATCAGCTTTTCAGCTTGAACGCCTTCGCTTTATCATAGAGCCGGCAGTGCAGATAAACAAGAGTCGCCTCCGCGAGAGAGTGGGTGCAGACTAGGGTGTCTGGCTTTCACAGTGAAAACCAAACAGCTTTGGGCTTGCCCTGACAGTGCTGGTCTCGTAGGGAAGACAGTATCTTTTGGAAGTGTTTTGATGAACCTGCTACTCCACTCTGGGGCTTTGCTGCACTGTCAGGGTAACGTAGGTCGAAAATGCCCTAAGGAGCGCACGTCTGCAAATTCACGTGTGCGAGTTCAAGCGCCATGCAGGAACAGCAAGAAGCTACACGACTTTACCAGCAATCTGACTACGCAACAGGAGGCAAGCCACCTTGTTCACGCACTGTCCATGTTCTGCCGACAGCGTGTTGCAGTCTTGTGGGAGTTATGGCCAGCAGAAGGCTCTTGCAACGGTCACGGCGGATCACTACGAGTACTTCACGCACCTCAACGAGGCCAGTAAATCCGCACATCCCTGTCACAGCGACGGAAAGTAATTCAACAGTCGCGACGTCGGCCCCTGATCGGGACAACAGAACAAATCTCGAATGGATTTTATGCCGCATCGCCCCAACAGCAGTAAGCTCAGTATCACCAACAAGACTAAACAGCAGCGGCTGCTGCTGCCGCTGTGCTGCTACTGCTGTGCCGCAGTTGGCCGGCCAGGTGTTGGCAGTCTTCTTGGTGGTCGTAGTGGTGGTTTTGGTGACGGCGATGGTCATGGTGGTAGTGAGAGTGACACGCAGCAGGAGCAAGGGGACAGCTAGCACCGACCCCATGAACTCACGTCCCGGTTCCGAGCATCATGTCATTTGTCGCAAGACCTAAGACGCGATTGCGCACCAGTTTGGGTGCACGTGGGGTGCATATGGGGCAGTGTGTCGCAATTGTTTTTTTTTTTTACATTGCTGCCAGGCCATGTCACGATGCGTCGAGACCTTCCAGCAGGATGGGAACTAAGTCACTAAGTCGTAGTTCTGTAAGGAAGCAGGGCAGTCCTCAAGAACCAGCATCGAATCTCTTGCTCTTGCAAGCCAGGTGAAGAAGCCGAGCACGATAAAGTGACTCTCCCAGATTCGGGTATCTTCGGTGTTTGGTTTGACTTGCTGTCTGCACGATTCAAGCCTGGAGCACGGATCGATCGCGCCCGCGCTGCACGTCGTGTTTGTTGCTTCGAACCGAAGCCGCAAGTGCTGTGCGGTGCTCCTGCGCTTCTCCCATGGCGTGCTTTGCGACACTGCTGACGCTGCTCGTTAGCTACGACTGGAACGTGTGCTTATGGCGACAAGGTGAGACCATGATAGGTTTGACGTCATGTCAGTGGGGCCCCGAACCCCAAAAGAAAACGACCTGGGAACGATTCGTGTTTTGGTTAAAAACCATGGCCCCGAATCTCAAAATTTTGGAAACTGGGTTAGGCGTCAAGGTTCTTTTAACACATACTTGACCGCTTCTTCAAGGACTCGGACGTGGTACCAGACCAGGGCTTAAACAACCTAAACGCCCAGAAGGAACTTGGAAGAGAGCCACACGAAGATCTCGCAAGAAACCCAAACCGCCTCCTCTCCCCTTTTGGCGAGCAGCACGCGCCAGTTCGCTTAGGAACCCTGACCGGAGTCGGGCCAACGAAACATGTTCATGGCAGCCTACCCTCACACTAACTTGAACAACCTCAACCCGATTTGGCTGACTTCGTGGGTGGGTGGCAGTACCCATCCCCTCCTCCGCACACTGATTCGGGGAAGGGCGCAACATTCAGAAATCCTGTTCCTTTGCGCCTACCCCTGTAGGAATCACGTTGCAGGGGGTTTAACGCGCCCGCTCCGCCCACAAGCATGGACCTCTAGGTTCTCCAGGGTTCAGTGTTGCTCACCTCTCAGATTTCGAGGATCCCATCTTCTAACCCCCGCATGGGGGTTTCCGAAAATAGGGGACCCTGATATAGTACCCTAAATAGTAGGATCCTTATCATAAGGACCCCCAAATAAGGTACCCTTTATTTTCGGAAACACCCACATCGGCCTTTTGCACGCCCTTCAAACTCAGACATGGAACCCACAGGTTTTGCGAGACGTGCTTGAAAGGTAGTATGAGCCATGGGAGCAGGTGCTAAGTACGCAAGCCGGCGTTGGTTTCTATAAGCGGAGATTTGAAAAGCCGAGAAGTCAAAGAGTCGAAAAGTTTTCGCCTTTTCGACTTTTCGCGTGTTTGTCTGTTGTTCCGACACTTTTCGGGCTTTTCGGCTTTTCGACTTGTCGGTTTTTCTTGTCCTTTTCGATGCTTTTCGGGCTTTTCGACTTTTCGAGTTTTCATGTTCTTTTTCGATCGGGCTTTTCGACTTTTAGTGTTTTTCCTGCAACTTTTAAGCTTACTCATCAAACCATCATGACCTTCAGTTCTGACCTGGTTCAGGCATCACAAACAACAGTTCTGCAGTGACCCTCTGAACCCGGCTGGTGTTGCGGCTGAAAGGCCATCTACGAAGTCGCTAAGCCCGACGCACACTAAGCAAAACAGCCGCATCAGACGCAAGTGACATGCAGGTAGGGTGCCTTGAACATGGCCTAACAGAGCTTCGTTTCAGCCGCCAGTGACAATACGTGCATGTCGCGTGGTCTGAACCTGGCCTAACATGGCGAAACATTTCCCCCAGAACCCAAAATCCTTGACACTATCCAGAATCTGTGGTTTGACTCTCTGCAGGTGAAAGTTATGCCAAGATGCTTTCATATCTTTGCAACTTGCTGGGGTTTCTTATTCTGCAGTGTTTCGTTTTCGACTTATTGACTTTTCGAATTTTTACATTTTGCTGTTATTTTCGATTTTTCGCGGCTTATTGATTTTTTGTCTGTTCGACTTTTCGCGTTTTGCTGTTCTTTTAGACTTCTCGCGGCTTTTTGACTTTTCGACTTCTCGGGCTTTCTGGCTTTTCGCGCAAAATCTGCATCCAACACCATTTCTCGACTTTTCGCTTTTCGACTTTTCACGTGCCGTTTGGCATTCTCCACTTTATAGCCGTGCCCACAGGAGTTTGCAAACACAGCCATGCATCGATATACTAGGTTCTTGTCAAAGGCAGCTGTTTCCCGAAGAACCTCAGAGAGCCGTTAAACGATGCGAAGGACTTTCCGTGTCAAAGAGAAATGACACAGAAACGTAGCATGTTCCCATGATAATGAATGCAGAAAGGACAGAAATACAGTCTGTTTGATCTTTTTGGCTGTGGTCGAGAGCCTTCAAGGAGTCGTCTGGGAAAAACCGCGGGGCTAAGTCTCGCCTAAGTCGTCTGAACAACGAGGAACGCAAAGATTCACAGCCACGGGAAAATGTTGAAAAGAGAGGACAGGCTGTTCTTGTCAAGCTAGAGAGGCTGAGCTCGTGTCACTCTGAGCACAGGCTATCCTTGTCAGGTCAGGGCCTAGAGCCTTCTGAGTATAGGCACGAATCCTGTGGCAGTGAGTGCAAGTGTTCCTGATCATGGCTCTGTAACAACGCCCCCGCTGCAAGCAGTCCCAATCCATCGGGCTGCTGCGCAAAGGTATTGCGTTCTGATTGGTGACAACGAGGCCCCTGCTTGTTCCGGGTGCTGATGTGTTCCGAATAGGACTCAGACGTCCACCTGACGCAAAGACACTTTCTGTTTGGGCTCATGCTCTGCAGCTGCAAGTGCGTGAGTCGAACGCAGGCCATGTGCCAGAAGCCCGCAGCGAAGCGAGCTTTTCTCTCAGCGAAGCCGCACACAAGCTTGGCAAGTGCATCAATTGCTCACGTGCCCAGGTGGACGATTTCTGCAATTTGCCTCAGAACAAGGATCTCTGTCCACCGGAATTAGTAAATGTAGAAGCCTCAGATTTCCCAACTTGCTGCACGACGAAGCTTTGGGCTGCAGCTTCTTCGGGCTTGCCTATTCGACGCTGCGGTTTCAATAAGGTTGGATCTCCAATCGAGTATGCCTATGAGTTCGACAGTTGCAAAGACTTCGTGCTTGCGCCTCAGATCATCGTCTTCCAGGTGGTGGCGGGAGGGCGGGAAGAAGCACTCTGGCAGGACAACTGAGTTCAATGACATCAAGCTCATCATGATGTTCACCGTCTCGCCGCTTTGAACAAACAGAAGCCGTAGAATCCTGACTTCCACAAGCCATCTCCATCTCTGGCATTGGGCCGCTCAGGTCCAAAGAAGATGAGCAGATGCGGCTCAGGAACCCGACTTTTCGGAACTTTGTCCAGAACACGACCGGCTGCCTTCACCCTACTCTGGACTCTGGCAAGTCTCTGTTTGTCGCTGTGTCATGCAATCGCTCTTGATGGCTCTTGGCACGCGTGGTCTTGAGGTGAAATGCAGCCAGTCTCACGCGTTGAGGATAAGGCCACGCACGGCGTGGGGTATGTTGTTTCGGGCTTCACAGTGTTTAGGCTTGCGGGCGTTTGAGGAGACGGGCCCGGTAGGGGAGTTTGAATCTGAACAACTTATTACAAGCTTGGCACCGGCACGCAGAATGGCGTCAAGACGACAGTCGTGGAGTATGTTGCGAAGGAGGCGCAGAATTCTCCAGATGTGCGTAGCTAAGCAGACGTAAGTGGACAGGCGTGTGCATGTGTGACACTTTTTGGCACTTCCCTGGCTCGACATGTTTCGAGTTGCCAGGACACGCCGCAGTCCCGCCAGAACTGCTTACACTTCATTCTTGGGCATGGACTGGATGACGTGCTTGAAAAGCCTCCGTCTCAGTCGATAGCCTTGCCCACTGTGAATGCGTATGCGTTTGCTCAGTTTCGGTGCAGTGGCCGGTGCTGAGTCTTGTTGACTGGTCCATGTGTCAATTTCCGCCCTAAATGCCTGGTGAGATCATCCTGAGTTCGACGCCAGCAATCGGATACGCTGCGACTCTGGTGGTATCCTGATGTTTGCAGGTCCAAGTCCATTGTGGAACTCCTAAAATTTACAGGGCAGGAGTTCGAGGTCTCCTGCTCAGATGTTCGCCTGACCATCCTGGCGGGCAAAGCGTCAACTTATGTTCGTGCGAGCAAGGAACCAAATTCACAGAAGGACATGCGCCTGCGGCCAAGCTAGCCTGTCTCCGCTTTCTGCTGCAGTTTGGAGTAGTTTTCGATGAGGGCTTCTCTCGCTAGACCGACTGGTCGTTCGTGATGGAAGGACGAAGAAGGCAAGCCTTAGGCACAGTGATTCCCAGACCCAGAAGCCCCTGCCCCTTCATACAGTTTCGAAATTAATTGCAGGGAAAGCTAATCCTGCGTCGCGCCGGCATCTTGTAGGATGTTGAGGGCTATGGAGGAGAGGAGTCGAGAACTGGCCGGGTCCACACGTCGTCACACCGCCACACCACCACCTCATGCTGCACGCGTTTGTTTGCTCGGTGAGTTATGCGCGAACTTCATGTCCTGTTCCGACAGGGGCTCCATGACCCTGCCTCCCAGGCTACATATCATTCTTGCTGCTGCCCTTGATCCTGTTTGCCTACTTGGGCGCGCAGGGGACCCCAGATTGTGTCCACGGGGTTGAGGGCCTAAGCAGATGGAATTTCTTGCCAAGGTCCGCTATAGCACGTTGGTATGCCAGCTTCCAGCACAAGGCGGCAAGGCGCTTGGCGGTTGTGTTTCCTTCATCACGGCGTTGCAGGGTTTCGGCATACCCTTCGCCAATGTGTCAATCTGATGCTGTCTCTCTGCGATTGGCCCAGCCGAGGCTCGCGTGATGGGCAAGAAGAAGAAGATGCACGGCAGCCCTGTGTTGGCAGCCTTGCGTCTGCTTGCGAAGCTGTTGTGGCAGGATCAAAGTGACAAAGACCCTGGTCGAGAAGCCCGCGCGGAGAGCTTCCAGCGTGGACCGCTTCGTCGAGCCCTCAGTATCAACAGCTTCGCAGAAAGAAAGCAGCATACTCCGCGAGCATGGCAGGCGGCTCAGCTTACAGAGGTCGAGCTGGCAGAGGTGCTCTGGAGGAACTGCGTGGAAGGGACCTAGACATAGGGCCTGTCGCCAGGTCTCCAACTTGAGGCCTTTGGTTAAGCTTGGTTCCCCGATGACGGTGCGGGCACGCCTCAAGGGCGGCCACTTGCGCCATCGGCTCGGTGTGGCAAGATTCAGACTTGTGGGAGCCTGCGGAGCATGAGGTCAAAGCCCGCAGGGTGCCTGAGCCTTGAGAGGTTTCCTCCAAATTGCGCGCTTTGAAAATTGAATCCGTGGTTCCTTGAAGTCTCAGGTGGCAGATGGCAATGGGACTCCCTTCGATCCCAATGCGTTTCCTGCTCAGATGTGTTGTCGACCATCATGGCTCGGCCGGGGATCTCGGAGAGACGTTCGCGATTCGCGACCCCTCAGGTTCTGGACGTTCGAGCCCACCACAGGTGAGCAGGCCGCTGACATGATGATGGAGGCCAGCGGCAGCGCGGCTTCAGGGCAAAAAGGGTGCTGTGTGGTGCGGAAGCTGTTGCGAAGCCGCCTTGGGTTGACAGGCCAAGCAGGCCGTCCACATCAAGAACGGCAGAGGCGATCTGCTTTGCCCAAGCCTGAGCATGTAGGATGGTAAACTTCAGGCTGAAACGCGAATCATGATTTTTGAAACTCAGGCATCAGGGAAAACGGAGAGACGCACTTCCTGCCTCCTGCAGAGGTGCTGCAGAGCTGTGCAAAATTCTAGCTGAAGACCTTTCCAGCGGTGATCGCCAATACCTCCCGAGCAGGCGGCGGCGACTGGCAGAAGAGCTGCTGAGTTCGTTGTGTCTTCCATGTCCGGGGCGGAGGACCCTGGGAGAGCCATTGAGCTCGTAAGCGGTCGCACTCGCCTGTCCTCTCTACCTCGGCGAAAGAACCTTTTTTAGTAGATCGTGGCTGTACTTTCCTGTGAAGCCTTCAAAGGTGAACAGATGCACTCTGCCTTTCCGGTTAGCCACCCCTCAGTAATGGTCCGCAACAAGCGGGTGGGTTTGATGCCTTGGGGGGCTTGACTCGCCCTGAAGCCTGGGGAAAGAGGAGGAAGAAGCGGGTATGAACGAGAGCGTGGTTTTGGTTGGACAGCGCTGTGCTTCCATAAGGAGAGCCCAGCCAGACTGGGGGAGAACGTTCGGATCATGTCCGGGGCCCACCGGGTCTGCGACTGCTGCAATTGCAGCGCGCCACGGAGACACTCCGCTGCTTCTCACTCCAGTGGCTCAGGTCCGCGGCAACTGGGAAGTACTTGCGTGTGAAGAAGGAAGGTGACTGCGGTGAGCTCAGCCAGCACAGCGCAATCCTAGCAAGTTAATAATTGCTGTGTTTTGCGTCTGGGTGGACAGATAATGTAAAGATCGCCTAACACTGCCTGACATGGGTGTTTGTTGAGCACAGCGGGCCGAACGTGAGTGACAAAACGTGTCTAACTGATTGTCGAAGAATCCAGTTTCTGTAATTACTCTGCCCGCTTGGGCGGCTTGACTTAGATGCGAGGTGATGCCAACGGTTCTCCGTCTGAGACGGACTCTGGGGAAAAAAGCCTCTGTAGCTGCTATCGATAGGATCTCTCGATGCGGTGTTCACGGTGCATTGATGCGCTAGGTTACTGTATCAGTCGCAACTGATGCGTTGCTGCTGCTATTGCCGAGTGGAGTTCAAAGACGACGTTCCTGCCGTCGAGTTCAGCGGTCAATAGTCATGTGATACTCTGAGCCGCAGGAGACCCAGTTCGTAATCGATCAAGGTGGCCAAGCTGCTGCAACAGGCAGGCCATGATAGAAACGGTAGTGGCTGAAAGACCTCGTGGATCAGCCTGACGTTCTATCGCAGTCCAGTAAGATCTGTTCATCCGCGTAGATCCAGTACCACGGCTGCGCATTCCTCTGTGATTCCGTTTGGTTTGTGAGCGTCTCGCACGAGGCGGCATCTTCACGTTCCGCCGGGAGCTTAGGTTGAAAGAGCATCTAACCGGACCTGAACCGTATCGTCTGGCCAGGGTCAGAGCCGACCACAGACGCCCTTCTGCACGGCAATCCCAATGGCTCTGCACAGGTGCCTACTGCGGCTCAGTTAGATGTTGCAGATGCAAAGAGCCGTAGAACCCGGGACTGCAACGGCTCGCTGTATAACCGTGCCTCAGCAATCACGTGTCCGTGCCTTAGACCGTGAACCTGCAAAGCATGTGTCATCGTTTGCACGCATGAATGGCTCATATGGCTCGAATGCCCTGCGCAGATTATTTAACTTAAAATTAGAATTGATGTTGCATGCTACTGGGCGGCCGGCGTGATATGCGCGCTGTCAGAACCGCGGCCCGCAGGCATATTTGTGCCTTTGGAACCGCTTGTCGCTTGGAGTGTTCTGCTGTGACAGCCAAGGTCGCTTTAGCTGTCTTGCTGACTTTTGTTGAGCTTCGCGGGCAAACTTTGCTGGATGCGGTGTCAGCAGACGAGAGCCTTTCGATTTTTCTGTCAGCTTTGCGGACCCATGGCCGACTTCAGAACTGTCTTTATATCGGCGTTGCGTGGCATTGCCATAAAGCCCTTTTGGGCTGCAGTTTGTTAACATGTAGGGCCGCGAAGCCTGCGAATGCTTGGATGGCGTCGCTGCTGGTAAAGCATCAGTCCATCGGCTCTACATCGAGATGATCCGAGATGCATGTTATCTTGCACCTCTCGTCGAGTCAATCTTCGCATCACATCGCCACGCTCAGAAGTCCAGTGAGGGCAATGGCTCCATCGAAATAATTCCGCAGTAAGAGAGGGCATCACAACTTTCGGAGCTTTTTGGGGGCCGGGCGGGTCAAGTCTCCCCTGCTGCGTCGCTCCTTCAAGCTTCTTTCACTTAACTCCGTGGCTGCAGGGTTTTTTCTGCCTTCCCAGCAGCTTCGCACAGCTGTGGCTGTGCATGGAAAGTCCGTCATTGCGTTCGACGGCTATTCTGAAATTCCCTAAAAGAGAAGCTAGTGTTCGGCTAAAGCCCGGCAATGGTGTATATACTCCTCATGTTCTGGAACGTGGCGGTTCTGCTTGTGATCAGGAAAGCTGGCCTGGCTTCGTTTCTAAACGTTTCGGGTTTCTTGACGGTCTTTGCGCCCACAGACGATGCGTTCGATTCACCGGAAGATTTCTTGGAGCGCCCCCTGTGCGGCAATTTATGTGCGTTTGCGCGCCATTCTTGATTCGGGTTCGTGCTGCTGTAGAACCTTAGAGAAGGGAGCAGCTGAGGACCAGACCTGCGCGAAATCTGCGAGGCCAGGACCTCAGGACAAGCCCAAGGCGTAGCTTTCCCAGAAGCCCCAAGCACAGCTCCGCCCAAAGGTGCACTTGGCAGTTGGCCGTCACGAGGAGGGCCGTCCACTGCAGAACATAGGCACTTATTCTCCTAGAGTTGCACTTGGCGGCCTGTAAAAGGAGGGCCATCCAGTGCAGAGCATGGAGGGTGCACGTCTGGAGGCCGGAAAGGATACCTGTAGCTCAAGGCTCATTCAAGGGCTTCTAAGCGATGCTGCCCTGAGCGGCCCTCCTGTCACAGAGTTTCTGAGCAGAGAAACACAGGTAGTGAGGCGTGAGCACCACAGCTTCGTGAACGGCATCCAGGCAGGGATGGGTTCGGGATGGTTCTTGCAGCAGCAACAAAACCATTGAAGCATGTCTCGACAGGTGATCCGAGCGGAGCAGGTCTTGCGCAACGGTGTCCTCCACAGTCTTGGCTCCTTTCTCCAGGTTCCAGAAAGGCGCAGGGCTCAGCTTGGTCCGTTGCGTCACGCGAACAGAGGCACAGAGATGCACAGAGCCTTCAGCCCAGGCTGAGACTCTCGGGTGCGGAGAAGGGCTGGCCCGGCTGGATGGCAGAGCGAGGTGGCAAGGCCACCGGACGCTTGCTTCTCGGCCTGAATACCTTTATGACCAAACGGGCGCGTTTGGCCGCGTTTGGTCCTGTCTCTCGTCCCACTGTGTTTGAGGGCTTTGGCCAGCTCTTTCGAGGGAATCAGGATCGTAACTACTGCCATGTAGCTGGGGCCGGGGCGACCCATGGTGTCCTATCTTTCCGCAGTCACCTGAAACAGAGGTCCTTCTCTGGGGAAGCCATGGTCTTCAGTGGCCATGACCTCGAAGAGGGCGGTGCCTCCAGCGTGCGGGCATCCTTCAGGCTGATTTTTAAAAGCTCTTGCTTGTACGTCCTCTGACCTGTGACTGTCCTAAATTGCTGAGCAAGAGAAGATGCATAGATCCGGCGACAGGTTCCGTGCTAGTAGCTCGAGGGCATTTTTGCAGGCTTTGCAATATTCGCGACCGAGATAGCCTCTTCAGCCGTGATCTTGAAAATGTGACCAGAGGAGCCTCATGCTTGATCCTTCTTGCAGGCCGCTGCTGAATCTCACGGCGTATGCTGGGCTGCTCCTGGACATCTGTCACAGCTGCCATTGTGGGCATGTTATGTCCAGTTAAGATGGTATAGCATAATGTGAGCTGTTAAATCACCAGATTCCGCGAATTCGGGTCTTTGCATGGTGTGCTGGGCCTAAACTCTGTGAGGACCTTCAGTCAGAGCCAATGGCAAACTCTACTCGGGCAGCTCCGCTTGGATTGCAGCTCATATTGAAAGATGAAGCCCGGCTGCAACAGCTCGTGCGCCACGAGTGGCAGGTGCTTCGACAACATGACTGCGCGCGAGTCAGCGAGTCATATCGAGTCATAGAGTGCCGGAGGCGAACTCGTCGTCGGCATACGAGTCGGCCTTCGCGGTGCCTTTTTCACAGGGCGGTCCGCCTCACTCCTGCAGCGTCTTCATTCCGTTGTGGGACACATGGCCAAACGTAGCAAGAAGTGGAGGGTGCCAACAGGCATTCGGATTTTCTCGCATGTGGCTACGTTCCTCTGAGGGTCTGAGATGTTCACCGCTTGCCAAGAGCCACGAAATCGCAAGCCAAACACCCGTTCTTCCTTTTGAGGACTTCAGCATCAGCCGGGCAGATGCCAAGGCCGCTGTTCATCGAAATTGCAGTCGGTATACTTGTCATCTCGGTGTTGTATTCCAGAAACAAATGGGACTCAGGCTTGTGAAGGGTGCGTGCTAGACCGAAGCCGCATTGCAACCTTGGAGATCAATGTGATCCTGCAGCCCCCTGGCTGAAAGTCTAGCTTGGGTGGAGACTTTCGGAGATCTTTGAAGTTCTGCATCAGATTGTTTCACATCTGTGGCATTCCGAAGACGTTCCTGCATTCCTCTGCTTGCATCCAGGAGTGGCCCTTTCCACGTGCGCTTGGTGGGTCTTCGGGCCGTGCGCCGGGCCTTGGATGCACCCCTGCCAACAGCGCCATCAGTGCAGATGACGACGGCCGGGTTGTTGAAACTGCGGCCTGGCAAAGATTAAGTCGCGTGTTTAGATCGCTGTGCCAGCACCACGAGTCAGCGGGATAAGCCAACATGTTCATTCTATCCGATCTCCGCTTGCATCGATGCTCATGGAATGCTCGTGCAGAGGATAGATGGTACAATACAGACGGCAGCTCCGATCTGCAAGGAGGCTCCTTCAACTCATTCCAAATCATCAGTGCAGTCTTGTGCCATGCTTCAGTGGATGTGCCCTTGTACATAAGCCGGCCCTTCTGTTTATTATCATTGCCGTTGATGTGTGCTGTGCTGTGAAACCTCCGCTAGTGGCACTTCGTGGCTTGTTGGAGGGCAGCCGCAGGGCGGAAGTAGCAGTGGTGAATTCAGGCTGTGCGTGTCATGCCGCCACTTCTGCATGTGTGTCGCTGCTCGCGTTCTGCATCACGTACTGCGAATGCGATTTGAAGAGCTTGTGGTTGCCTCCAGGGCTACGACAAAGTTTGCCTCGCCATGTACTCAGCCACCGCCCGGCAGGCAGGTTCCGAGTACCATTTCCTGACACTTCTATCATTTCCATCGGCTTGATGCAAAGGCATGCCTCAAATCCCATGCTAGGTCATGGTGGCCCGGGGCCCTGCGCAAACTTTGCAGCAGCTACGAGGCCTTGCGTGTGCAGGCCAGAGCTGATCGAAAGGACGGAAAGTGCTGTGTGATTCTTAGTAGTCGTTAGTGGTACACAAACGGTAGTACTTCTGGTAGAGGTAGGGGTCGTGGCAGCAGTGGCGGTAGCGGCAGCGGCAGCGGTCGGGGCAGGGGTAGGGGTCGGGGTCCGGGCACGGGTGGGGGTAGGGGTAGTGGTAGTGGTGTAGTCGTCGTCATGGCAGTAGTAGTGGGTTTGTGCGAGAGCGGCGCAGAGTGGTCGTAGCAGTGTCGTTGCTTGGCATTGCGTGGTCAGGGAAGGTCCCGGATCGTCTGCTCAGCTCAGTCTTGACTTGTTGCCCGTCCGCGAGGCTTACGACGAGGCTCGGCCTGGTCCCTCCGCCGTGCCTTGGATGCCGCGCACGCCGACCTGGCGGGCGAGGAGCGCATCCTGGACGTCAGGCGAGAGCGGCGAGAGCGGCGAGAGCTCAGAAGTCCGCAGATGCGCGAAAGCGGAGCGAAGGGGAGCGGAGGTACCCTCTGGAAGCACAGGGCTCCTGGCTGTTGCAGCGCGGGCAGCGACCTCCGAGCGGCCTCTGCCAAGGCACGCAGAAAGAAACCGAGAGGCCGAGAGGAGAGGGGCTCTAGTTCTGCTCCACAGCAGAAAAAGGAGATTGACAAAAAGCAAGCGGAGGTTTCGGTCCCGGTGACTGTCGCCCTAACCCCTCTCGTGTCGCATGTCAGGCTTGGTTGACCGAACGTCCGTGGACATCAACCTGGACACAGTCTCAGCATTGAGTGCAAAGCCGAAGTCGCTCCTCTGGATGTGGCGCAAGTGCAAACGAGCGCGTGCAGCCGAGGAGCTTGGTGCCTCTGATCGGTCGAGCCTCAGCAGCTTCAGCGGCCCATTTGTGGCGATGTCCATTGAAGGGCGCAATGTGCAGCACCGACAGGCCGCAGGATGATTTGCATGAGCTGGTTCTCGATTCATTACAGGTGGTCTGCTATGTCACGCAAGAATCTTGTGCGAGTTCTCAGCAATGTAAGAGAGAACAGTACTTGTCAGTCGATGACCCATACAAGCCATGCGTTAGTAACATGACCGTACAAAACCCGGAACGCTGGTGCCAGCGATGCTGGACACACAGGTCTCCAACGGATTGTCGCCCTGTGGGCACTTAACGCATGGGCGGTCAAGACCAAGACTTTGTAGGAGAAGGTGCCGGGAAGGATGTTTTGAAGATCAACCTGCCGTCTGCGCACCATCTGTCACGAAAGCTAGCTCCGTGCAGCTTGCGGGAGTTGTTGTGGACGATTCACTGAGGTCGTAGAGAACCAGGTCAAAATTGCGTGCAGTACGGCCCTTATCTGGTCACTTCACAATCTTTAAAAAGAGGACCCACCCTACCACAAGCTCACAGCAATATTATACAAGGTCAGGGGGGCCCCCGCTCCTCCTTTAGCCCCCCTCACTTCCCCACCTCAAGCCATCATGGCACATCATGGTCCATCTAGCATGGCAACCTACGTTTTGTGCTTATGTGGCCGATTGCGTCCACATAGCAGGTTTCACGTTTAACCCCTCAGTAGCTAGCTAAGCTGCCGCCAGGAAAGATCGAAGCTGCTCGTAGATGGCCGAGTTTTGCTTACACAGGGACACTCCGACCCGCAATGAGGTCGGTCGAGGCACTACGATACGACACAGGTGTATCTTTATGTGGGCCAGTGTAAAGGCAGAATAATTGCAATCATCTTGCAGGCTTAAGCTTCATGGCACTACATGCGTGCTTGCATCCAAGCTGCCCGAGCTCTGTCGACTCTGGTTACTTTTCTTGCCCTAGCTTTCGTGGCCTCTTCTCAAGTCCACTTGTGAAATCTCCAAACCATGCCGTGCTTGCTGGAACCTTGAGGCTGAATGCCAGAGTTTGTCGGGTGATGGGCCTGTCGTGTCGTCGGGTCAACCCTCGCCACGTGGGTGTCGATGTCGGGAACAGGCTTTGATAAGCAGTCCTCGGCACGCACGACCCGGATGTCTAAGTTGTTGAAGACCGCTCGTCCTGTCACTTTTATGCTGGCTTTTTTCCACACCGGAGCAGTCCACGGCCCTCTCAGGGCGAAGGCCTGGACGAAGACATAAGTTCAATATAGCTCAATGCAGCTGCCGCAGGTGCACTCCCCTGCAGAATGTGCAGAGCTCTGCCTCGAGACGGATGGATGCGCAAGCTTCGACTATGGAGCAGATGGCTTTGTAGTTGGCGAGTGTTGGCTGAAGTGGGCGAATCGTACTTCCGCCGGCTCTGCATTTCGTACCCATCGGCTCTTTGATTACTACGAGCGCCAGCAGGCGAGGTGAGAGCGGACACTCCCTGTCAATTGAAGTCAGTCAGTGTTTTGGCACCGAAATGTTGATGCAACATTAGTTTCTGTGAGTCTGCGTTGCAGCGGTGCAGCCGTCAGTCCTGTCAGGCGAGTGCAGCTACAAGTGTGCCAGCCGGACCTGCCAAGAACGTCGTGGATCCAACCAGCTCACCGGAGCTCTCACTCACATCCGGCCAGGAGCGGATTTCTGTTTTGCATCTCCTGGGCTGGAGAACAAGCAAAGCAGAGCCACCAGAGCCACGTAGATTTGCAGTGAGACGTCAGGACCCGCCCAAAGAGCAAGCAGGTGCAGGCCCCACGCCGTCGAGGGATCCAGCTTTCCTAGGCTCTGGGGCTGAGAGAGTACCCGCACCGAGGCTCCGGAGGAGCGATGAGCTTGGTCTTTGGTGCCTCGGCGCTGCAATGAAGCCGCAGAAGCAGCGCTACTTGTAGCTGACACTGCAGCCTTTGCAACCTGGTCAGGTGCTGCTCTCGGTGGTGTCCTCCTGCAGCTCGTCTGTAAATTGAGTCACGGCAGCACGACAAAGACCCAAGAGTTGCAAGTCGTCGAGGTTGGGCATCCTGCTTGGTGCCGTAAGCATTTTCGTACTTCATATACGGAAAGGAGGACGAGCTCAAGGCAAGGGTCCTTGAAACGGCCGGAACGGCCCAGTCGGATAGCCTGAGCAGGTCGGGAGCGGACACCAAGAACGCCAGGCAACCCGGGAGTTCCCAGAGCTCCAGATCCGGTCGCCCCAGTCGATCCGGCCACTTGTCGTCACTACCCGAAACGGACACGACTTCTTCGCATCCGTGCCGACGTGAGGCTCAGCTGCCTCCCACCGTCAGCCTCGGAAGCGCCGCCGTGTCGTGGCGAGCATCGTCATTAGGGGTGCGTCGGAACGCAGCGTGCTTCGACCGTGGGGCCTTGAAAGTCTGATGGGATGTTTGATCTTAGTGTCGCCAGATACCACAAGATACGATAAGAGACGCTGGAGGCGTAGCTTAAGCAGGTCCATGGAGCATCCATAGGAGGCGACAGGAGGACATGTTTGCGGGGCTTGTGCTTGCTACCGGCCGCTGGTTTCAGAGAAATTTGTCTCAGCGGTCACCAGCGCCTAGTTGAGGAACGTGTGAGAGTTTGTCAATTTTTTTAATTCGGGGCTTTGTCCTTTATGCAAAGGAATGCGTTCAGCCCCTCCTCTGGCCGGCTCTGCAGGTTTTGCTGTAGGCCGAGGGACGACACCCGCTCAGGTGCCGCCAAGCATTGACATCGGAAACACGAGCGAACCTTGGCAGAATCAGAGCCCACAGCCAGAGAAAGGTTTTTTCACTTCGTAAGCATTGTCAAGTGTATGGTCAAGGCATTTGACCAAGGTTGTGGTCGTCGGACATCCGGTGCGCGATCCAACGACATGAAACGTAAGCCTCCGCGTGCGACAAATCCAACATGGTCCATTCGCAAGTGGACCGACAATGTGCACCTTTATCTGCCATTTTGATGGGATGCGTCCGAGATGCACCTCAAACATGTTTATCAGCTTCGTATGTCTGTCTGACTCGGATGCCTGTGAAGGCCTGCCAAGCGCAGCACATGGGATTCCTGTACAGCCTGTGATTGTGCAAAATGCGAAGAGCCATGTCTCGTTACCGTCACAGTTGGGCCGGAGCCTTGTATCACATATCGAGGGCATACCGGAAGTCACAGGTGCCGTGCATTATGCTCCGGACTGTTTCTCACTGATGTTCCCTCGCTTCGTGCCACGACTGCTCCAGCTCAACTTGCTTCTCTGGCTGTCATTGTGAAGCCTGCAAGATGTGGGTCCGACAGCTAGTCTTGTCGAAATTCTAAGTGCGCCAGGCTCAATTTCCAAATTGCACAGGAGCAAAGTTCAGAACCTGAGTTAGTGCCGCTTTACTGGACCAACGACGTCCATGACAAACACTGCGCATCGTTGCGCAGCTTGTGTGTTTGTGCCACAAGCGCACATGGGGTAACATGAAAATTCTTTGACATGGCCATTGCTGCAGTTTACTGCAGATGTCCGACAGACTGCTATGCCAGGAGCAAATCCTGGATGGCACATGTTCGCAGAGGGAAGCTCCTCTTTTCGAGCTTCGCGATCCCATACAGATCGTCTTTCGATGCCCAGGATTCCAGTCGATCGCCTTGGCAGGCAGCTCCTCTTTCCCTATTAGTGGAGTGCAACTCGGAATGTTAATGAATGCTTAAGAATGTATCAACATCGAACTATGTGGTACCCAGTTCAAGAATTCAATTGTGAGCGAGAGGCAAGATGCCAAGGCCACACCGAGTGGTTCTGGTAGGTTGTTGCCAGAACAGCGCCGGACGGATGAAACAAGGAGTTCTGGTGCGTCAGCCAGCGGCTTCTTAAGTCTACAAGTTTCAACCCGATGTCAACTGCACACGACAGGTTGCTTCCGGGAAAGGGACGTGGGCCTATTGGCTTGCCTGGGGCCAAGTTGATCTGATGCCATATGCCTTATGCCCATACCTGACTACGACAAGTTGCCGGGTCAAGTTTGGAGTTGAAAATTTGTGCAGAAGGATCCAATCGGTGCCTGTTCACCACGAGACAGTTCTCAAGCATAATCTGCTTCTTTTAGTGAGTTGCAGTTATTGCAGACGGCGCCGTGCTGCGCATAAATCCCGGCATAGAATGTTAGGTGCCTCCTGCCTCGGGATAAGGTTTCGGACTCCTCCATAGACAGGCGGTAAATGTCGAAACAAGCAGGACCTAAGCTGCTCTTGTGTCAACTAGTCCGTATTGAACCTGCCACGCGGCAGTCCAGGATTGCATGTCATCTTGCCCGGTTTGAACCCTCAGGCAACATTTGCCAACTGCCCATCCCGTTCCGAGTCTTGCTCTGTCTTGGTCATGGCCAAATTTAATCGTGTGGTGGGCCCAGCACATATGGCAAGCTGGCTAGGTTGAGAAAACGGGCGACAACATCAGCGGAACGCTCAGATGAAACGCATGGGTTCGCCTGCAAACCCTGAGGCCAGAACTCTGTGGACTTTCCATCACGTTTCTCAGGTCAAAGTACTCCGTCGTCCAAGGATCCATGCATTCACGAAGTTGACTTACCACAGTTCTCGCCACAAGCACATCTGTCTCATCGGATGTCTGTTGCGTCAGGATGCAGCATCAGCAGACTCGACGCACGGATCTTGGTGTTGTGGACCTTGTGGAGTTGTCTTCTCACTTGCTGCACTGCGTTCCTGGCAAAGCAGAATCCCCAACTGCGGTAGAGGGTAATACCGAGGTCGTTGCGGATAGGGGACATCGTGACAGTCAAGGCTTTGCACTCTCAACCGCTACAGGCCTGCGGAGCATTGACGATGGAACAGTGGCTTCAGTTGTTTTCACTGGAACTCCAAGGTGGAGTAAAGTTCATGCCTCATGCGACTTCATGCCCTTGCAGGTGGATACAGCTACGGGCCTTTGTCACACAGGCGATCCTTCCGCCGAGATGACCAGGCACTTGTCCCGGAGTCCTATGGTGTGGGGGCCTTCAAACCATCGTCAAAGTCAAGTGAATTCTCAGAACACTGAAGGCTTTCGAGAGGTTCGCATACCAGGTTCTGTAGAATCAAAGAGCCGGCTCAAAGCTCATGCCGGCTCTGTCACGGCTGATCCCTCCGCGACACCCCAAATTGGAGTTGACCATAGTGGAAACGAATGGAAACAATATCGTCGTGGGACAATAGCTTCATCGCAATTCATGCTTGAGCTGACGTGGTCAGCCCTGCTTTCGTATTCGATGGACCTGCACCTTCGGTATCTTTCCCTAGACTCTTCAAGCGATTGCCGTCATCGCCTGAAACAACGTTATCAACCTCAGGTCTCGTAAACTGACCTGTGTCTGTTTATGCCTCCAGCGTCCGCAACCTGCCAGTGCGATTCCAGAGGGCGGCGCCGCCAGCAGTGCTGCAGGCGGATCTGCGCAACATTTGCAGACTTACGACAGGGTATCCTGATTGCCTGTTCGAGCTAGCGTTTGCGCAGGAAGTGCCGAAACCGGCATCCAAGAGCCGCTGAACTGAACAGACAGTGGTAACTCGTCCGTGGCGCAGAGCGCGAATGCTGATACTCTCAGGTTTGTTGTGGAGCGTGTGGGCATGGGCCTGGTGCCCTCCAGCCTTTCAGCGTGTTGATGTCTTCTCAAATTCTGAGGAAAAGGCATTGGACGGATATGTCCTTCGCTCTGTGGGACTGCGGGCCTCGGGTTTTCGGGGGAAGAGGTACACTTGCACGACACGACCATCCGCTTGTGGCTGAGACTGCCTGCAGGGCGGCAAGCCATGCAAAGTGACAGAGCGAGTCTTGAGAACCACTGCAGGGCCGAAGACTTGTGCAGGACCGCTGCAAACAATTGTTGAGAAGCTAAGGCAAAGGGGCCAACGTCTGTCTCAAGCCCTACAGCAGGCCGTTCCGGAGTGAGTTGGCATGATGATGTCCATGTGAGGTATGTCATGCAACGCTTGCATGAGTATGCCTGGCAGGACTGACGATGAGAGCCATAAGAACTTGGGATACTTGAAGGTGGCTGCTACACGCAGTGCCTCCAGCAACAGCAGTGATCGTCAGTGCAGGTAAACGACGACGGGTCGATTACCGCGAACGGAAAGGTCCGGAACCAAGCTTTAGAAACAAAGCACTAGAATACAATGGGATACAGCTAATGCTCCTCTGCTCTGGTCGCGCCCATGCGAAGAGACAAGCGAGCAGTGCTGATACCAGTAGTAGGAGCTGCTGATGATGGCGAGGAAGATGCTGATCAGTCACGATGACGAGTGCTGATGATGATGCCGAGTAACTTTGGAGAAGGAGTGTCTGTTGTTGATGCAAAGGTCATTGTTGTCACTCTTGTTTTGGTTGCTTGCTAGTGCTGGCTATCGGCTTGGGACATTCGGGTGTTGGGAGACTGGTGCTGACAGTTGTCGATAGTTGCGGGCGTCGAGCGGAGGATTCATGGATGCTTTTCTGAGAGAACGGGCACAGAAGCTTTGTACGTGGTTTGTCGAGCCGCACGGGAATATCACAATTGCTTGCCACCCGCACAGTTGAAGCCCCACCCAACTGGTGCGCGCGATGATGTATCATGTCTCTTCGAACCACATGGAAACCAGTCCTGACCAAATCTTACGATCCTGCTATGTATGAGGCAATTGTAATCCTGGAAAGTTACGTTACTAAACGTTACCAAGATGATTAACAAGGACGTAAATAATGAATGAATCAGGTGTGTGTGTGTGTATAGTATAGTCTCATTCGAGGACCAGTGCTCCCAAGAGCTGCAGTACGGGCTAGGCAATGATTGCAACAATGATGCGATTCTGGTAGTTTCCGATCCCAAAGCGGACACGAATAGTATCCTTAAGCCAGATACCGGAACGATGTGGAAATTCAGCATGCGAGTCCCAGGCAACGCAAAGCGAAATTGGATTCGTCATAGAGGCCCGGAGTCAGCGGTTTGCATGAGCTGAGCAGATTGAGCTACTTGAGCTCAGCATGGCCAACGCTAAGGCGGGCTCTGTGAATCACATGCTGGCTCCTTTGGGTGCGGCGATGTCGCAGGCTTGCATTGCATAAATGTTGAGAGGGCTTCTAACTGCAGTGGCGAGAGTGACTGAGTGAGTGGACGACCAGGGTGCACACCGACCCATGGAAACCTTTTCATCCCACCATGTCCGCTTGCGTCGGCAAGTTCAAGCTCTTGGCTGCTGGGACTCTACCAGTGTCCCTTTGGCACTGCTGGCAACCGAAGAAGGGAGTCTCCCCTGAGAGATGTTCGTTTATTTTGAGAGCCACAGTTGGTGTAACAAAAATGACCTTGCAAGGGGGATGTCGACTTGTTGGTTGCCCCGCTCTGGAACAAGCTGCGAGCTTGGGCAGTGGCAACAACACAACAGGTAAGCTTGCTCTTGGATGCTGTCTCTGAGGTCTGATGTCAAGCACTATGATGCCTTGTCGTCGAGTTGGACGCATGATGAGGCAGCGTTGCTGTCCCATTGTCAGAGTACCGTGGAATGAGTCGGCTGGGCATGAAGGAGTTATCCAAGTTCAAGGGTGCCGTGGTGGTCGCCTCCGCCCAGGGCACCTATACAGTACCCAAGGCACCGTCCTAACTTATCCTTGACAGCTTGACAGAAGATTGCGCAAAGATTGCACAAAGTTCAGGAGGATCCCGAGCAAAACAATTAAAGACAGAGATGAGTAAGTTTCGGTATTGCTGAGCATGCCGCTGGGGGGTTTGGTTGCCTTTCATGTGAAGGCTGCAGGCGAAGGCAGCAAGGAGCAGCAGCCCCAGCGAAAGAGCCGGGCGGCGAGCTGTGCGGGTGAGGAGTCTTGAGCTGTACCATTGGCGTCGCTAGGTGGGTGGCAGTTGTTGAGGAAGGAGTTGACCTGCGCAAAGTCAAGTGCCCAGCTGGCTTAAACGTGCCGTACGTGCAGAGTTGCGGCGCTTCTCCTGGCTTGACTCAGCACACGGCTCAGGCGGCTGCTCAGGCGAAGAAGCAAGGAGCCACAGGTCTCATCATTCGCTGCGAGCAGGCTGGCTGTGGGAAGAGCCGCCGCAAAAAACTTGCAGTTCAATACCTGCAACAGTCTCCTTGACTGAAGAACGTGCTGTCTTCAAAACATTTATCAACTGTGGAGCATGTACTTTGGTTGTCGTGATTCATAGGAGCGGTGTCGTGCAGTTCGGCCAAGAAACTGTTTGCGAAAGGTTCGTCCTGCACCTACGGATGCCGCTACTCTTTGACTTTGTTTCCTCGCCACCACTTGCTGCCAACCGTAGAGCGAGGGACGGACAGGATGAACAAGAGTCGCAAAGGATTACAGGGCATGAGCAAAAGCATTTGTCTCAGCACATTGACAAAACCCGTCGTGCTTCCTTTCGCCACGTGCGTGTGTGCCGTCCTATCGTCTAGCGGGTTCGATACGCAATCATGCTCATATATATATATATACATATGTATATATATATATACACACATACATATGCGCATACATCTATGTAGATACATGTTACATGTATATATACCCGCGTCGCCGCCAGGCTCTTTCATTGGAGAAGCTGGCCCACAGCCTGGCTCCCAGCTGTTTCGGGCTGTCTCGACCTGAACGCTTGTCGGGATCGGAAAGCCCAGGTGCCGATGACGAAGAGCCCCCGGAGTTGCCTGCAGTCTTCGTCACAAAGAAAGTGGGGGAGGTGGGGACGGACAGCGGGAGCTAAAGCCGGCTCCAACAGCCCTTTTGAGTCCTCAGGCTCTGAACGAGCGGGGAATCGTACTCAAGGGGTGCGAGTTCAAGAAAAAGTACATGACGGAGGCTTCGAGCTCTCTCGACACAGCGCATAACGTCATAGTGTGTGAGTGCATCCGCAACATGTGGCTGGATCAGGTCATGCGAAGTCTTGGACGCTTGGGCGGAGGCCGGCAGAACTGACCAGATCCTCATCGGCGCGGCAACTGCGGCCTGAGCTGGCAGATGCTGGCAGTCTGGTCCTTTCGAGGCCTTCAGCAGACTGACAAGTACAAGACTGCCTTCCAGGCCAGCCCTCGGGTTTGCTGATGGTGAAAATTGTCGCAGAGATGAGGCAATCGGCACAGCCATTCTGGAGAATGAGAAGGAAAAAGCCAAGGCTCCGACTTTAAACTTTAGGACATTGCTGGCCTGAGGCATCGGAGTTGGGTCGACGGTCCTGTGGTGTGTGTGCATCTGTGCATGCATGACTGTGGCACATATGAAAACATCCACGTATGCCTGCGGTGTATGCTGAAGCACATTATTGGTTGTGGGTCGCTGGCGCATACAGATGTCTATACGAATATCCAGCTGAGACGATTTGACTGGAGTGGTTTGTGCCTCGAAGAGAGCAGTGTACAATGTACACACTATGCCACTACGCTGCGAAATGGCGCCGCAGGCCCCGAAGCCCGTCGCGCAGAAAGTGGCGATCAAGCAGGATGTGTCGTGCGGTCGCCATTGAGGGTGAGTGTCTTGAGTTCCTACTACAAGTCCAGCTACTCGTACTTGTACCAGTCCTCAGCTGGGGCAAGACGGATGCGTGGCCAGGGGACAGGGCAAGTTCAAGTGGAAGGTGAACACCAACACGCCTTGCCCCAAGTCCGAGTCAGACATTGCTTGGGGCGGGGGGCATGCGGGGCTTTGGAAGCGCTTGTGACGTATGGATGCAGGGACGGACCGACAAACAAGTAGATGCATGTATGCAGCGTGAAGGTGCGCAACATATATGTACGTACGTGTGTGCATACACGTGTGCATGCATGCACTTACGCATCCCGAGTTGCACCCCTCCAACCACGGGAGACCGATCCGTTGCGTCATCGGACTGCGTTCTCATGTTGGACTGACTGCTTGAATGCCTGGGCTCGAAAGCCAACCCACGTCGACACACCCCAGATAAGAACTCCGACCAGGACGAAGCAAGCACGTAACAAAAGGCGACGTTGCAAGCCGTGAAGCCAAGGTTTCCCGACCAAATCACCGGAATAACACTAAGCATGAATTCGGACTGTGGTCAAGGTTTCGAGTAGACCACATGCTCCGGTCCTGTTTCGGCAACCCACTCCTCGCGATCTCACAGGCAGTACATCTGGTCGGGCTCTGGTGGAGGCCTTCAATCTTTGGCGGTATGGCGGTTCCTAGGTTATGGGGTGTTGAATGGCAGGTGCCACGACGATGCAGGTGAACTACGGACTCAAGGCAGGCGAATGTAAGGTGAGCCAGACACTGCATCTGCTCCCTTGACACTCTTGCAACTAACATACTGTAGCACTGCTGGCACTGCGACAGCTTGGGTGTCTGCAACTGTCCAAGCACCAGGGACATGTACCAAAAGTCCATAGAGTCATAAAGGTATCCCTGGCATTCCCTGGTTGGGCTGATCTTCTCACATGCCCTGTCATTGTACACGTGCGGAGTATTGTGGAGCCAGGCGCCACCTTCTGCCATGAAGAAGAAGGTGGTGGAAGGAGACGACGGCAACGAGACCGCCCATGTGCCACTTGAAGAAACGAATCAACGATTCAGAGTTTTTCCAGCCGATGTCAGGTCGATGCTTCTGCAGACATAGTGCCCGACGCCGCAAGCTCGGATGACATACTACCATGAACTCCCATGATGGTTGTTGTTGGAGGGGAAGATGCAAACTTTCACGAGCATGAGTATCCACTGTTAGGCTATCTTCATCTATCTTCCATGCAATTCGAGACCTTCAGAGCCGGAGCGACAAAGAGCGTTGAAAGCGTTGAGTTTGACATCAACACGCCGTCCAGGGCCACGTCCAACCTCATTGCCTGAACAGCTATGAATCCTGCAAAACTATCGACAACACCAAAGCCGATTTGCCTCAAATCTCTGAGTTTGCAGGGGGAGATTTGACTAAAGTGCTCTTGATTTGCCTTGCCCTTTGCCACCCTTCTTGGGTTGGGATCCTGAAGCGTTTTGAAGCTGGATGGCGTGCTTGCTAGGCACGGAGTCAGAGGCGCAAACCCTTAACTTGCTGCCTCCCACAGACAGTTCCCAGAATTTGCACAGACTTGCGCTGAATTTCCGTTTCACTGTGTCCCCTCTGTCGCCCCACGCCGCGGGCGCCGCCACAATACAGCAAGAGAGAATACACCGAAATGTGGTACTGTAGCCTGAGCAAGAAACGAGGACAGACCAAGGACACCTCGACCATTACGATTTACAATCAGCTCGCCGGCATAGAAATCCTAGGACCATCGGAGGAGTGCTGCGGCCCGGCCAACCTGTGAGTGACACCAGATCCAGATCCGGCTGGGACGTCCGTCCGCCTTTCTTACGATCTGCTTTCTGCATACGAAGTATCATGCAGCCCACAGTCTTCGGCACACGCCATCGGGTATTGAGCCCGTGGTCTGCCGTTCTGAAGGATGGTTTTAGGTGAATCTGCGAGCGAGGTAGATATCACCTATCGTCGCTCGATCGTTGGCAGCGCGATGGTCGCCGCCGAGGCCAGAGCTTGTTTGTCCATGCCGTTGTGCAGTAGCTTGGGATCGGGCCGTGTCTGTCCGAATCGATTGCTCTCCAGCCCTTCTGGCAGTGAGGGTCTATCATGTTAGCCATTCTTCCCGAGACGTCTGTGAGAGAGCAAAGCAGGGAGCCGTCTCTGTGGCCATGTTTTGGCCCATCAGGATTTCAAGGCCCATGCCTTGGCCCAGGAGCTGTCGGAGGTGGGCGCAGGGCAACCCGTAAAGGACCGCACTGTACAATTACATGCATATGTCCCGCATGACCTGGCCATGCGAAGCGCCCGTCTGTGAGCATGTAGTTGCGGATTCTTCATGTGTCTCCTTGTGTCCTGGTGTCTGGAGGTCCTCTTGGAAGACGAGGGCAGTGCGCAAGCGCAGGCGCAAGCGGCTGTACGTGCGGTTGCAAGAAATGCGGAAAACTTGCACGCGAGTAATTAATTTTGGATGCGTGCAAACAGTAGTAGTCGTCAGAGGCGCAGGAGCAGCTGTCGGACGAGAGTGATTTCATGATCGAATACAACTTTACCGAGGCGCCCGACGCGCTGTGTGCAATGATGTTGAGCTTGAGTTGTGATGCCTTGTGTGCAGTAGCAGTTAGACCTGTGAATTCGCAGGTTGAAGTTGCCGTCTCCCAAGACAACGACCAGGACAGGCTTAGGTTGTTCAGAATGGGTCATGTTTCGATGATAAACCCGAGTGACGAGACGGAAACAAGCGAAGTTTTTTTGCACAGCAGCACATGCAAGAAGATAGCGCCTTAAGCAGCTGCAGGAAACTTGGGGGCGAAGTTTCTGATTTGGGCTCCTGGGTCTAGTCAAGTCTAACCTCGGCTTCGCAGGAACCTGACCACGCGGGCTCATGGTTATTATTGGTAGAATTAGCACCAATTTCAGGTAATTAATTGGGATGCTTCTTTTTGCATCCACTGCATGGCTTGAACGGCACCTACTACAGAAAGGGGTGTTTGTGTGCGTATGTTATGAGAATTTATGAGACACACATATACAAATTGATTGTTAAGGCTGCGTGGTAACATGATTGTGGTCTATTGTGGTCTTGCATGTGGAGGTATAGATTCATGTGGTTTTCAAGAAGCCCGCGGTGGTTCCGCCCTCGTTTTGCATTCAAAACGCACGTCGAAAGTCCAGCAGCATTCGGCCTTGCACTATTTGGCCTCTGGGGCTCATCTGCGCCTCTGAATCCCGCTGGGCAAGGTTCGGAACGGTTTTTGGGCACTGTGCTTCAAATCCTAGCTAGCAGGTCCACACTATGAGGAATCTAGTCGTCTTCGTCGTGGTGTCTTCGGGATGTACGCGGTGGGTGCGCTTTCATTGCTTGGGGATCTATGCTGGCAGGATATGTAATTACACAAGTTGAAAGGTACTTGCAGCACTGTCTTCGAATCGTCTGACTGACGCTGTGACCATTTTGAGGCACATTCAACATTACTCCTTGCCAAGCTTGGGTTCCGAGTGTGCCATGCAGCAATGTGGGGTTTAGGACGTTCAGGATTCCAAGATCCCCCGCCTTGTTTGAAGACAGTTTCGAACCACTGAGTTCTAAGGATCCCCGTTAGGGGCGCGTGTTCGCTGTGAGGGTTGATAGCCATGATGGAACTCAGCGGGCTTGCCCTGTATACTCAGGTGGAGAGAGTATTGCGGGCCCATAGAAGTTCTTTCCTGGAAGCATCAAGCCGGTTCCGTTCGAATGCATGTTCGATAGTAATTGAGCATGTTGTCCCTAGCAGGAACGGTACAGGATTTGAGCCTTGGTATAAAGCTTACAAACCTAGAAGGACTGTAGTGTACCGAATCAGGAGCTCGACTCGGACGAGGAAGTTATGGACGAGGGCACTGTCGTCAGTAAAGTCGGTGGGAGACTGAAGCAGCTTTTCCGTTGCAGTGGTCAAGCGCATTCGCTGATGAGTTCTATCACAAGACGGTGCCAGGTGTTCCGCGTCGATATTTCTGGATCGTGGCCATGTTCCTTCTGTTTACCACCACTGCGCAGAGCTCAGAGAAACTCTTTGGAAGACACGCAGTATATAGCGAGGCTACCAGAATTATGAGAATGCTGCGATGTTGTGGCAGGCCCTTGTCTGGCTTTTGCGCGTGAACCTGAACGCAGAAATGGAGCATTTTGGCTGCACTGCTCTGCAATGTGGATTGAAGTGCACGCTACTCTGTCATTTCCGCATTCGGCGGTGTTTGCGACGCTCCACAGCCCATGAAGCATTCTGAACCATCCTGCATTGGAAAAGGGCTTGCGAGCTAACCTGTGGTGTGCTTAGTCAACGGTTGACACACGATGCCTTTTGCAGGCTTCCGGAGCAGTTCCGAAAGCATGCTGACATGGAGGAGGACTGTCCAAGACGACACTATGAAACGCTCACTTGCACGTTCGGGATTGGTTTCTCGCAGAAGTCGGCATTTCAGACAGGACCTCGACTTCATGGCCACGCCGGCATGGATTGAAATGAGCTCAACACAGTCGTGTGCTGGATCTGCCATAATCCACTAGCACTTAGTACGCGGAGTTCTGGAATGATCTGGTATTCACTTTCAGTGCTTCAAAACTCTGTGCGCTAGGGTCCAATCGCTGCTGAAGATGCGCCGCCAACGCAGTTCTTGTCGCGCAGACACTTCTGGTGAGCGGGAGCTACTTGATAATGACAACCAGGTGTTGCTTCTCTGCAACACCTGGAAGCAATGTTGCATCGTTCTTGCCCACTAGGGCTTGAGAGCGACGCTAGCGACCAGCACGTGCGATTTACTCAGCGATCACCTGGCAACGTCAGCAGGGTAAGGTTCCGCACGAAATTTAGTGGTTCCACGTGCAGGTTCTGTTTTCACCCCAACACCTTGCCAGTGGCCTTGGTGTTCTGACCAGGTCACGGCAACGTAGCTCAGTGTTAGTGCCCCGGAATGCGTCCGCAGTTGCCTTTCGCGCTTGCAGTGCCTAACCAAGCTTAGCCTAAGTCTAGCATCCACGAGCATGCCTGAACGGCAGGGCGCAGTCCATGTACCATACTCAATGCGTCGTAGCCGAGGCTGCAGAAGCCTTGACCAATTGATTATCCGTCGAAAACAATGACTTGCATTGCATGCCACGTACCTTCCCCGCCAAGACATTACAACCGGCCGTCCACTGGGGAACAATGCTGCGAGCCCAAGTCGAGGAGTTTGTTTCTGTCATTAAACGCCCACGGATGTGACACCAGAACGGACGGAGAGTTTCAGCAGGTCCGGAATGTAAGACTGACCGTGGTGTGTCTGGTAGATGTATGCAGACATTAACCTGTCAGACTCAGTCGTCGTCTGATAACAAACGGAGCAATGCGTGAGACTGTAGCAACATGGCAGTGACTAACACAGCGAAACTCCGAACCCGACGGCCGCAGTAGACAGTTCTGCAAGTCGCAAGGTTCCTCAGCCTCCGTCTCTGAGTTGTGCAAAAGATTGAGTCGACCACCTGCACACTTTCCACGTGATGACTTCGCTTTGCTACACTTGTCAAGTTGTAGGCTGCATGATGCTGTATGCACGTTCCCTGCCAGCTGCACGTGCCATGACGATGCCTCGCACCATTTTCTTGCCCAAGCCTATCTTTAAGCCGAGGACAGCTAGGGGGCCATGTTGACTCAAGATTTTGGTAATTCACGGGTCGTACTGCGCCGGCCCTTGCCATTTCCAATGGGACCACAGGCAACCATGGACCAGAACATTTGTGCTCTTTCGCATCATGCTGACTCCTGCGCAGGCGAGGGCCCCGATGTGCTGCCCAGGCTTGTTGCGGGCGGATCTGGACGCCACTCCCCTCGCCTTCGTCGCTTGGCGGGGGGCAGAGTCGCATAGTGCGTTCCGGCGCCGTAGGCGAGCGCTTTGCTAGGCCCGCCGCAGTGTGCATGGCGCGCACATCGTCGGCCCACGCCAGCGCAGCTGCTGCGGCCAGCGCACCAACTTAAGTCTCGAGTAGCGCTGACTGTGCTGCTGCTGAAAGGTAGCCATCGGGGCCCCTGCAAAAGAGCATGCTGGCTAACAGTGGCAATGGGCGCATCGGGCAACCTGGCCAGCGCCGCTGCTGAAGTCTTATCCTTGGCCTTCGCATGCCTTCGCAATCCGCCACGGCGAACAAAGACCGAGCGAGTTGGCCTGGTACGGCTGGCGGCGCCTGGTGAAGCGTAACCACCACCTCCTGAAACCCGCGTCCAAGGAACGTGCGTGCACTCAAAGTATACCGGCCCCGGCGTGCAAAAGAGTGACATACAGCCAAATTGCGCTCGCCGGACACTGAGCTCGGCGGGCATCCTGCCAGGGCGGCGGGGCGAAGGCGCTGGGTGGCGTGACCTGCTGAGCAGTGCGGGGGGTGCCTGCAGCGCCCTCATCCGCCACCGGTGTTGCTGGCAGCGCGAAGCCCGGCGTGACGTGCGGTGGTGCCATCGCGCCCGTGAGCGCCGCTGGAGCGCGAAAGGGGTAGTAGCGCTAAGCGAATGCGATACGGTTTTGGCAGGATCCAAGTCCGCTGGTCGGTCGTTCTGCGCGGCCGGGCGGGCAGTGGGCGGCAGCTGCATTTGGGCAAGCGCATGCAGGGCTCGCTCTCGACGTGCCTCCACGTCAGTGCCCCAATGGCGGGCCCGGGTGGGTTGCTTCCCAACTCGCCTGCCATGGTAGGGATGCGGAGTCAACCTTGCGGGCGCTGGTGCCGCCCGGTCGTCGACGCGAGGCACGGGCGGGAGGTGGCCGCACCATCGACGACCATGGTGTCGTCGGCGAGACGGTGAGCCAGCAAAGAAGCCGACGTGCGCCCCAATGCTTGAGAGAGCTCGACCAACGCCGCCTCGCCGCCCTGCAGAAAGTATTGCATGGTATTGCAACACCTTGGGTCGAAAGCTCGCGTATCAGCGCCTCCCAGGTCCGCGGGGTGTGTGGCCATTGGCGACCGCTCGCCAGGGCGACGATCGCACTCACAGCTCGCCGAGAGAGAAGACCGAAGCAAAAGGCAACCACACGCAAGGGCAAGCGGCCCGAAGCCCGGGGTGAAGTAGCGGGGTGTCGCTCCATGGCAGGTCAGGGCTGCGTGGGCAATGCTTTCCCTGCACGTCGGCGGCAACGATGCGGCCCATCACACAGCCGACGAGGCCGCCGAACAGGCACCGGTGCATGCCGATTGGAAGGGGGCTTGCAAAATGGCACCGGCCGTAGAGAAAATTAACTAGAGCCGAAGACCGCCGCACCCGCGAACACCGCGGAAATCTTTAATGAGGTGGATTCGTCCCCTGAGTTTTTTGAACAGCTTGCGACCACACAGTCATAAATTTTGGGTACTGGGGGCATGTAGGTTCTCTAATCTCCATGGTCGCACGCAGCACAAAGTGTTGACTAAACGGACGACCGCCTAATCGCGGAATGTTCCGAAGAGGCCAAGCACGAAACGGCCGAAAATGATGATAACAAGCCGCGGCCTTACTACAAGTTGCGCTTTAGGACATCTAAAAAAGCAATGTCGCCGTATGTGTGCCGTGCCTAATGCAGCGTCTCGCCTATGCCTATGCTCGCTTCAGCCGCCTTTCGGACGCACGTGGTGTTCTCTGTAGGTCGTCGTTTTCATCGTGCCCTACTCGGTGGTGTCCGTCTCCGGCCACATGTCCCAGAAGGGAAGCAGCATATTCATCCTTGACCTTGGCGTCAAGTCAACACCGCCGCCTCCACCCCGAACTGCGGTCCTTCTTGCAGCCAGGACGTTGCACCAACAAATTCAAGACGGAAGCATCGTGGTACATGCTTCCAGGATGACCATGACCCTGCGTAACCCGCAAACGCAGATCGCTAACATCGATAAATTCAAAACGGAAGCATCGCGGTACATGCCTCCAGGATGACCATGACCCTGCGTAACCCGCAAACGCAGCTGGAACATCAAGCGCAGCGTGGGCTTGGGCTCATCTAGCTGATCCATGCTGATCCGCAGAGGCAGAGGAAGAGCTTAAGACATGGCTGCTGCGCCCACCCCCTGCCCCAAAATGTCATCAGCGTCTTCATGCCCGCCCGATGAAAGATGCTCATAATGACTCCGACCATTGACGACCTGGGGGGTGTGGTGGGTCGAGCCCAGTGGGGATGCGGAGAAACATGAGGATATTTTTGTTGAGCTCAAGGTCAATGGCGCTTTGTGTGAGCCTTGGGATGAGCGGGCCGGTGTCCGCCAAGGCCGTGTCCCTCGCCCTCTCTTGTTCAATATCTTTTTAGACGGCATCTCAGCCACCGTTCGTGCAGCTTGCCGGGGTGTTAGTTTAGGTCGTGGCTCTCGTGCTTTTGCTTTGCGCCCGTTCGAGTCC